ACTTAACACTGTTGGTATTGATCGTGAGCACCTGGCTGAGGTAGTACTTGTCAGATTTCTTCACTTAAAGTTACTCTTTTCTCCTTTCCATACTGAACTATTTGGAAGGAAGTCACTTAAGGAGTCAGGAGTTGTGCTCCTCTTCCTTGAGGGCTTCCCTTCTCCCTTCCCTCCCCTCCCCTCCCCTCCCCTCCCCTCCTCTCCCTTCCCTTCCCCTTTCTTTTTTTTTTTTTTTAATGTGTAGAGACAGGGTCTCTCTATGTTGCCCAGGCCAGTCTTGAACTTCTGGCGTCAACTGATCCTCCTGCCTTGGCCTCCCAAAGTGCTGGAACTACAGGTGTGAGCCACTGGGCCTGGCCTTCAACTTGCTTTTTTAATTAAATGTGCTTAAATCTGTTTCTGGGTTCTGAATTGTTTCCACTGGTCTGCTTATCTATCCTTGCTTCAATATCACACTGTCTTACATAATAAGGGGGAAAAATCCCCGCAAAATAATTTATATTTTCATTTTTAATTGTGATTAAAATGTACATAACATAAAATGTCCCATCTTAGCCATTTTAAAGGGTAGAGTTCAGTAGAATTAGTACATTCATGTTGTTGTACAACCAGTCCCTAAAACTCTTTTGATATTACAAAACTGAAACTCTATACTCATTTAAAAACAACTCTCCATTTCTCCCTTCCCCCAGTCACTGGCAACCACCATTCTACTTTCTATCTCTACGAATTTAACTAGTCTATGTACCTGATACAAGTAGAATTATACAATTCATACAAATCATCAATTTGTCTTTTGTGAGTGATATATTTCACTTAAGCATAACATCTTCGAGGTTCCTCCATGTTGTAGCATGTGTCAGAATTTCCCTCCTATTAAGGCTGAATAATGTTCCATTGTGTGTGTGTGTGTTTATCACATTTTGTTTATTCATTCATCATTTACCAAGTTTCTATGGGCACCTGGGTTGCTTCTACTTTGTGGGTATTGTGAATAACACTGCTATGAACATGAGTGTACAAATAGCTCTTCAAGATTCTGTCTTCAATTTCTTTGGGTATATGCTCAAAAGTGGAATTACTGAATCATGTGATAATTCTATTTTCAATTTTTTGAGGAATCGCCTGCTGCTTTCCCACGATAGCCATGTAATTTTAAGTTCCCATCAACAGGGCACAAAGGTTCCAATTTCCCCACATCGTCACCAACACCTGTTATTTTATGTTTTTTTGGATAACAACCATCCTAATGTATGTGAGGTGGTTCTCACTGTAGTTTTGATTTGCATTTCCCTAGCGCTAATGATGTTGAGCATTTTTCATGTGCTTATTGGCCATTTGTACATCTTCTTATGGAAATGTCAACTCCAGCCCTTTGGCCATTTTTTGGCTGTTTAGTTTTCTATTGGTTGTTGAATTTTAGGAGCTCCTTCCATATTCTAGATATTACCTCTTTATCAGATACATAGTTTGTGAGTATTTTCTCTCATCTTGAGAATTACCTTTCCACTCTTTTGATAGGATCCTTTCATGCACAGAAATTTTAAAGTTTGATGTAGTCTATTATCCACGTTTTCTTTTATTGCTTGTGCTTTTGGTGTCATATCTACTCAAACAAATACATAAATCATTGTCAAATCCAATGCCATGAAGCCTTCCCCCTATGTTTTCTTTTAAGAGTTTTATAGTTGTAGGTCTTATATTGAGGTCTGTAATCCATTTTGAGTTAATTTTTGCATATGGTATAAAATAATGGTCCATCTTCATTCTTTTGCATGGGATGTTCAGTTTTCCTACACCATTTGTTGAAAAGAATATCCTTTCCCTATTGAAAAATCCCAGCACTTTTGTTGAAAGTTGTTTTATTGTATATTTAGGGATTTATTTCTGGGCTCTCTGGTCTTCATCAATATAATTTGTGATGGTTAATTTTATGTATCAGCTTAACTGAACCACAGGGTGCCCAGGTATTTGGTAAAACACTGTTCCTGGGTGTGTCTGTGAAGGTGTTTCTGGATGAGTTTACCATGTGAACTGGTAGATTGAGTAAACAGATTGCCCTCCCCAATGTGGACAGGCCTTGTCCAATCAGCTCAGATTCAAACTAGAACTAAACCATTGGCTCTCCTGGGTCTTCAGTTTTCCAACTGTAGATCTTGGACTTCTCAGCCTTTCTAATCACATGAGCCAATTCCTTACAGGAAATATATACTGTTCCTGTTTCTTTGGGGAACTCAAACAAATACATAAATTTTAAGATAGAAAAACAGCATTCAAAATTGCATATAGAGTATGAGTTCAGGTATTTTTATATTAGAAAAAAGTTAACAAATTAAAGTAATATATATTTGTTGTAGACAACTTGGGAGGTAAAGCATAAAAAAGAAAAAAAAATCAGATCCTCTCATTTTGATGTATTTAACTCACTATCAAGAAATAATTTTAGATCACCTATGTAAGTAATTCAGTCTTATTGCAAAATAGGGATTATACTTTTTGGACAGTTTTGTATCCAGTGTTTTGTGCCTAATACCACATTTTAACATTGCACAAAGGCATTATTTCTGAAGAACACTAAACATCTGTATAAATGCTTTTTATGTATTCTCATGTCTAAAGAATATACCACAATTTATTTCACTATTTCCATTAGTGTTTGATATTTTCTCTTGTTTATAGTTTCTCACTATTTTAAGTAAAGTTGCAATAAACATAATTATACTGAAATTTTTATAGATATTTATTATTATAACCTTAGGCATATACCACTTTAATAATAACAATGAATAATTTTTTTTAAACAAAGTAAAACTTTTCTTGAGATTCTTGTACACTGATCCTTTCTTGAATGCATTTCCTCAGTGGTATTTTTGGACTTTCCACAACTTTAAATATAGCTTTTTTCATATAGCTCTAGATTTTCCTCTTTTTTTTATAGTTTCAAAATGACAGGACAACTAATTTTTTTCCTCCAATATAGAACTCTAGGTTAAAATCCTTAAGATTTTTGGTTATATTATCTGGGAAATTATTGAGTTATCTTATCTTACGGCAACTCTGAAGATCAAGTCTCATCTTGGTTTTAAAATTTACACTTTATTTCCAAAAATAAAATTGAATTAATTTAAATGCCATAATCATTTCTAAAAGGTTGTTTTTGTTTTGTATCTTTGATGGAAAGGGATAAGAGCACTTTTTATTTGTTTATAGACAAAATTAAACCCTTCAAGTAAATAGCAAATTTCTCATATTCGCCTTAATACCACAATTTTTTTCTTACCAAGTCTATCATAGATGGTTAGGTCATAAGTGAGTAGGCATGGAAAATTGATTTCTAGTTTCTATTATTTTTTCTAATCTTCATCTGTAAGTATTCCTCTGATATGGTGTTAAGGATTGAATGTTTCTGTCCCCCCCAAAACATATATTCTGAAGCCCTAATTCCCAATGTGACAGAAGCTGGAGATGGGGCTTTGGAGAAGTAATTAGTGTTACATAAGGTGATGAGGCTGTGGCTCTCATGATTGGATTAGTGTCCTTATGAATAGAATATCAGAGAGCTAGAAATTCCTCTCCTAGGTACATGCACAAAAAAGGGGTCACATGAGCACACAGCAAGATGGCAGCTTCCCACAGGCCAAGAGAAGAGTCAGCAGAATAAAACCTACCTTGCTGGCACTTTGATCTCAGACTTTTCAGCCTTTAGAACTGTGAGAAATAAATTTTATCTGTTGTTTAACCCACCCAGTCTGTGGTGTTTTTTTATTGTAGGCTGAGCAGAGCAGACTAAGATACAGGATTTAGTCGTAAATTTATTTTTCAATACTGTTCAATGACAACTTAAAAATTCACATTTTAACCTAATAATCTGTATGTTTATAGTTTAAAACTTATATTTTGGTGACTGGTAAAAAAAAAAAACATAAAGCGGAGTTCTGGGATGTTGAGAGCTGTTTACAAAGATGTGTTAACTTTATAAAAATGTATTCAGTTATACTCAATAATTCTTGTACATTTCTATATGTATTTATGCTTAATCAAAAAGTTTCCTTTTCATTCGTATTTCAGACAATTAAAATATTGAGATTTTTCTTAAAAATGTAGGCTTTAAAAATAACTTAAGATTTAAGTATTTGGTGTGATCTATAAACATAGTTTATTCTCACCCTATTCCTGTAAGCTCAAAGCTTATTTTCAACATGTAAAAACACAGAATACACTGACATTACCAAAAGGGATCAACACCGAGGACTTAAAATGAAATAATACAGTTGATAAAATTAACATTCTTACTTATTTAAAATGTTTCAAGTGCTTTAACTATTTTCTGGTTAAATGTATTATAGCTTATTCTACCCTCAATTCATTGCTGTTTTCAATTGTAGCTATAAATTGAAGAACATTTTAGGCCCTGTGTCCATCAAAATTCAGAGAAATAAAAGTTCATATTTGCATTATTCATTATCATGTATTATGCATGCAGAAACGGAGCAGTTCGGTTTCTTCAGGCTTTTTTTTCCTAAACTTTGCATTGCATGACATCAGACATAAGTGTTAGAAATGAAAGCAGAGACATGTTAAACCATGTGGCTTCCTCCTAGCCTGCATTATGTTCTAAAGAAACACTTGCATTATAAAAATACTTTAAATGAATGATTTCTATGATTTTTGTGACAGATCTTTAATTTTTATCTATCATCTGTTTTGTCCTTTCCTAAATTAGATGAATAGTACATTCTCTAATGAGTTTTTATATTTAAATCATAGCAATTGGTTCACCTTTTATTATGTTACTTCAGTGAATTTCCCTCTGATTTTGTATATGCAGTTTAAGTGTACAACTCTGTTAGCAATATTAGGAACATATTTACATACTCAAATATACAATATAGCGTTTTAAATGCTATTCAGCCTTTAATTAAAGCTTTAAATGATCTTGACATATATCTGGGTTTGGCTGGTATTACACAGCCAAGAAATTAAGGACAGAAAGACGTTCCTCAGAAATAGCATTTATTGCAACATCTACAACCATGACACATTGAAATTTTATAAAGCCAATGCAATTATAAATATTTATGCAATTCTTCCAAATTGTTGCCCACCTACCTTTTTTTGTTTCCTGAGATAGGGTCTTGCTCTGTGACCCATGCTGGAGTGCAATGAAGTGATCACCATGCTGGGTTAATGTTTTATTTTGTGTAGACATGGAATCTCATTCTGTTGCCCAGTCTGGTCTCTAACTCCTGGGCTCAAGTAATCCTCCTGCCTTGGCCTCAAAAAAGTACTGAGACTACCGGTGTCAGCCACCCACACTGGGGCCTACCTATCTTACCTGCCTGCAAGAGCCAAGGAAATGGCCTAAGCACTTGTCCACATAATAACAGCAACTGCTTCTGCTTACATTAGAGGGGAGTTTTGCACTCAGCGGGGCACCTCCATTCCCATTTAATTCTCCTTCATTTTCTGGTCTCTAAATCATATTAATACCCAAAATAGGATGAAATAGAATGTACTTAGAAATTGAAGATTGAATTTTAAACTGCCACCTAGGCCCCTAGTCAAGTACAAATTCTGGTACTATCTCACAAAAGTGTCCCGAAACAGGGGTCTCCGTGGATGTCCCAATTCCCAAACATCAGCTTGGGGTCAAAGAATCCTTAGTTTCTAGACTCCATGGCCTGAATCTATCTCCTTCCAGATTTTGCCTGTCTCTCTCTCTCATCTTGCCTTCTGTACCTAAATGCTAACAAACTGTTTCCCTAAGACACATTCCCCAGGAAGACTTCATGTTCACACACAGCCTTCATTTGAATAAAATTGACCAGCCCAATGAATGCATAATTTAACAATACCCTTTAGCACGCCATAAATGTTGTGTTGGTTTTTATTTTACTCCCTTTACGAGATTTGGAGCAAAATATTAACGAAACTTCATAAAAACCAATTCAAGTATCATTTTGGTTTTAAATTAACTAATTGGGTAGCTGTATTTTAGAGGAAGGAACTTCCAAGCAGGCAGTACAGCAGGGAGGAGCTTGGGCATGGGCCTGACTACCCAGGTTCCAAACTCACTGTGACTTCAAGCAAATTACTCAGCTGATTACTCAGTCGCACTGTGCCTCAGTTGCCTCATCTGTACAATGGCAGTAATAGGACCTGGAAGGCTTATGAAGATTATATACCTTTCTCCATGAAAGCGCTCAATAAAATTAGCCTTTATTAATATGTCAACTGAGCTGAAATATAACGAAGAATATAAAACAATATATCCACAGGAATCATTTGTACTAGTTCTTACACTTTTCTTCAGAATTCTCTTTCAACTTTCTGTAGTCCAAACCAAGACAATAATTGTTATGATGAAACTAGGATTATTTCTCAAAGTAATAAAATAAAAGGAAACTATTTTGAGAGGGCTTTGCATTTGGGGAAATAAAAGTAGGGGACGTTGAAAGTAGAAAGTTGAAGCGAATTATGTAGCAGCTTCACTTTTAATCTTTCTCATCCTTTTTTTTTGGTTTAACAATCATACTATTTTAAAAGAGGTTTTTCTCCTTTTCTGCATCGATGGGAAGTGTTGCAGGCTTATTCCATTCTCTAATAAATTCAAGCGTTTTAGTAGAAAAAGTGAATATAATATATATTCTTACAATATTGTCCACACGAAAGATTTACTGCAACAAAAATTATTTCTGTAGGCATTAACACCAGGAACAATTAATGTTTAAGTCGCAGACGAAGATGTTTACGCTGACAGGGAACAGACAAAAGGGCGGCCATGCTTCAACAAAATGTGAGAGTTTTCAGTTTGCAGCTCGAACTTGACACTGTTGAAATGCATGCATTGCGGTGGCCCCGTGACATTTCAGGCGTCCCGAAGCCCAGCAAGACCAGCCCGGGCCGCGTTCCCTGTGTACGCTCGGGCCTCCGGGAACGCGCACAACTGGAGAGGCGGTCGCGCGCGGCAAACGGGCCCGCGCGGCCTCTGCGCGTCCCCGCTCCGGGACCCTGGCGAGGCCTAGATCCCTGCGACGACCCCGGGGAAGGGCTGGCCGCGCTCACCTGCAGCCGGGGGAGGACAGCGGGGTAGAGGAGGTAGCTCAGGACGGGGCGAAACCGAAGGGCTCGCCGGCTGGCCGCGCAGTGTAAGGGTCGGTGGTTTCTCCGCTTGGTCCCTGGAAATCCACCCCAGCTTAGCCCGAGGCCTGAACTCCATTTCTACAAAACTACCCGCGACCATCTCGTAAAACGAGGGCGCGTCCCTGGGTGGGCTCGAACCACCAACCTTTCGGTTAACAGCCGAACGCGCTAACCGATTGCGCCACAGAGACTCCCATGCTGCGTGTCTCTTCTGCCACAGCCTTTATGAAGAATAATAAAGGCAGTGTGCGGCTGTTCCTTTCTGCTTTCTGATTGGTACTATCAGAACCAAAATGTTTCATTTCATGTTTCCAACCCTCTTAATTCTATTTTCCACCTTTTAAGCATATCGAAAAATTATACAACAAAATCAAACAGCACTGCAGATTGCAAAATGTGTTAAAATACTGTTGCTTCCCCTCGCCAATTCCTATTTGGAACGTTGTATTTCAGGAAAATAATTATTTCTTAACAGTTTTCTTTTATGAGGAAATCAAAGCTTTCATCTTGTGAGCTGAGAAACTTTCCCTTTGTTTCAAACAATTTGTCCAGTGCTTCGCTCGCTAATCTCTCGTGATTTACTTGTGTAGTACTCCCAAGGTCATCTGAAATGTATTTATTTGCCTGCTTTATTTTTATTTTCAGGTATTATTAAAGGCATAAATGAAATCCCTATTTGTTTGGTACTAAATACAGTACAATGATTTCACACTAACATTTTGTTACTGGAAAGAAACATCAGGGGAAAAAAGGTACAGGAACATTCCTTAGTTCCAGTGCGTTGTAGTTTATTGCTAACTCTGCCCTCCTCCCTGGAATTAGCTTACACACCCACATCGAAGACATACCACTTAAAACACACATCTCGAAGGATAATTAAAACCCGATTTGAGGAAAGAGAAGTTAAAGAAGAAAAAGGAATGATCTATAACTAACTCCTGAAAATTTTTAGCACAGAAACACTGCAGGCAAACATGTTCCATTCCTATAAATACTTAAACGAAAATCGTTCCCTTTGTGTGAATGTTTCCTGGTGCCTTTTAACGTACTCTTCTAAGTTCCGAACGCTCTTTTTCTCCCTTTTTCTCTCCTCAAATAATTGCGAGTTTCCACTTGAGAACGTGATGTTTAAATTTTTAACAGTAAGTAAACTGCTCTGTACAGAATCCCTCCAAGAACAATCGCTATCATGATTTATAGACGTTGTAAGCGACGCGTCTTAGTCCAATCAGCATTTTGAGTTCCCGTTGCGTGATAAGACAACTTAAATTGGCTTTGGAACCAATTAGAAGCCGAGTTCTCTGAAAGCGTTGAGATGTTAAACAGCTGTGAATTCACGCCAAGCTGCACCACGCCACTTTCAACAAACTTTTGGAAGTGCACTTGAAATTTTTGAATTTGAAAAAACAGTCTAGGAAATGCTTCTACAGAGCGTATGAGAAGTCTCATTTCATTAGACGATGCTGCTTTCTACTTGGTAATATTTTATGTACCTGCTAAAACTATCAGGTACTGGCTTTTCTTCTCCCAACACCAAACTGAGTGTCCTTTCCTCTATTGTTTTTGTTACTATCCAGTTAGAACAGACTGCAACTGGTGTACCTCACTGCCCTTTCATTCAATGTTTATTCTTCTGTTTAAAGTAGTATTAGGAACGGTTCTACTCATGTAAATCTCTTCAGCTCCAATATCTTTTCCTCACTTCAGTCATCATACTAGCATTTGACTTCTAAAAAGAGAGATAATGAGAGACAGGTGATAAGGAAAACGAACTCAGAAAGGAATATTAACTCATTCTAGGCTAAAAAATTGTCTATATAAGTACCACTATTGGTTTTAAAACTGTCTTCAAGCTTGCTTGTGTAGTTTTTAACATTTTACATAAAATGGCTGTTTCCACGGTTACTTAGCTCTGCCTTTTTTTCCCTCTCCACTTGAAACTACTTCAAAGGAGCATATAAATATTTAAAATATTGAATGGACTCTGAACATTTTATTCCAATGGTATATATCAAACACAGCTTTTATGCAGAATGACCACTAACAAAAATAAGGGAGAAGAATACAGTGTCATCTAAATCTTTGTGATTATCTCATCTGAGGCCATAATATTTATGTTCAGTTTTTAAAGCCAAACTAAGCCCACTGGATTAATTTTAGAAACATACATTATCTTTTCTTAATTTTAAGATAACCCAAGATAAATGAGTCCTATAGCTTCATTAGCACGTGGGTCTTTATAATTGCTAAAAGTAAAATGGACTGGGCATTTTGTCCCCTTTTTTGTATATTATACACAACTGAATTGCAAATTTACTTTTCCCAAGAATATGCTCTATCAATGGGGCTCATCTGTGCAGATTAATGGGCATATATATTTTATTTTCTTCCCGGAGAGGAAGAGAGAAAAGCAAGAACATCTGTGCAAATAGGATTCACCTGTCTTAACAGGCAAGCCACAATGGACCACACTGATCTATAGACCTTCCAGATATCATGAATCCAAGGCTTTCAGATAATATTCTTCCAGCTTCATCCCAACAGCATAGGCAACTCACAGGATTGCCATTAGCATGATTGTGCATGACCTGAATTCTTCTTCGTTTCTGTATTTCAGAAGTATGGTGACAGAATTGTTAAAAACAAAAAATCCAGTTAGAATTTTTTTTTTTTAATAGCCAGGTACAGTGGTTCACGCCTGTAATCCCAGCACTTTGGGAGGCTGAGGCTGGAGGATCACCCGAGGTCTGGAGTTCGAGACCAGCCTGGACAACATGGTGAAGCTCCGTCTCTACTAAAAATACAAAATTAGCCAGGCGTGGTGACAGGCGCCTGCAATCCCAGCTACTCGAGAGGCTGAGGCAGGAGAATCGCTTGAACCCAGAAAGTAGGGGTTGCAGTGAGCCAAGATCGCACCATTGCACTCCAGTCTGGGCGACAAGAGCAAAACTCCATCTCAAAAAAAAGAAAAAAAAAAGTTTGGAATTTTTTTTTTTAAATCAAGTGAGTTACAGAAGTCACCCCAATAAATGGAAGATGGTGGCACCAAGAAATAAGTTAAAAGACAACACTACACAGATGTTACTAAGAGCAAGAGGAGAACTATGAAATTAATTCTCAAAACAAATGCAAGTCATATTTTACAACTGATTTATAAGTAAAAGTAAATCGAACCCTTCCAACCAGCCTCAAGCTTAAAACGTTTTCTACTCACCAAAAGTATTCTTCTCATACAAAACTGGAGGACTAAGGTCAGTTATGTTTAACAAGCCAAAAGCAGCATCACAGAAACTAGCATTCAACTGGGCATGGTAGCTCACAACTGTAATTCCAGCACTTTGAGAGGCTGAGGCGGGAGGATAGCTTGAGATCAGGACTTGAAGACCAGCTGGGGCAACATAGGAAGACCCCATCTTTAGAAAAAATCCAAAAATTAGCTGGGTGTGGTGGTGCGTACCTGTAGTCCTAGCTACCTGAGAGGCCGAGGCAGGAGGATCACTTGAGGCCAGGGAAGTTGAGGTTGCAGCTGCAGTCAGCTGTGATTATGCCACTGCACTCCAGCCTGGGTGACAGACAGAGCAATACCTTATCTCAAAAAAAAAAAAAAAAAAAAAAAAAAAAAGGCAATCAGTATTAAGGTATATTAGCATATTTCTTTTTTATTATTTTTTAAAGTTGTATCACTTAGTTGGAAAATCTTGTGAAATTATTCAGATAATTATCTCTTAAATGGGGCAAAATAATGCACCAATATTCTGCCTGGTGGGTTCTAACGAAAATTTAATTTTTTTTTGTTTTTTTCCTTCATGAACCTCTCTTTTGTATATGGAAATACTTTCAAACCATTTTTATAGCTTTAATAATACAGAGCTAAAATTTTAATTCACTGCAGATCTCTTAGTAGAAAAGTGTTATTTGCAAACAGTATCAATGATTTCATCTGGGTCCAGACCAATAGAATCTTGGATCTAGCTAGAAATGGTTGAGGGGTGGAGGGGTGAGAAGGAGAAGAACTTTAACTTTCTTCGGTATACTGGGGGAACTTCTGCTGAAAGACCTTATGGTTATCTCAGTAAACTGGCTAAGTTGTATCACATTTTCCATCTCCTGACTGCAGTGCTATTAGCAAGGGAGCCATGGTCTTCAATTTTCCATGATGTGTTTACAGAAGCAACTTGAGGCAACAGTTCTTTGCTATTCAATCTATACAGTAAAAATGCTGATAAATTGGCAGTCTCGCCTATCTTTCTGAACTCATCTATTAAAAATCAACATTAAAAATTTTAGAATAGATACAAATATCCTCTTGCCATTTGCTTCAAAATAATAAAGTAAGTAGGTGCCCAAGGAAGACTTGACTCCTCAGCTGTGACTGCCAGGGACTGTGGGTAGGGAATAGGCTGGTCAAACAATCCACTGAGGAACTCAGACACAGGGGAGAAGAAAACAGTATGGAATGAATTCAACAAGGTAGGCAGACGGAGGAGGAAGAGTACTAAATATTGCATGATTCAGGGTAAGTGCTCCTTTATCTCCTCCTCTATAAAATTAATAATATTTGCCCTACCTAATTAATAGGCCTATTAGAAAATAACATGTGGATTTATGTTTTTTCACCTCTAAAATGTTAGACAACTATGCCATTTAAAATTTTTAAACTCAGGCCAGACATGGTAACTCACACTTATAATCCAGGGTTTTGGGAGGCCAAGGTGGGAAGATTGCTTGAGGCCAGGGGTTCAAGACCAACCTGGACAACACAGCAAGACCCTGTCTGTACTAAATAATAATAATAATAATAATAATAATAATAAAATTAGCTTGGTTTGGTGGCATGTGCCTGTAGTCTTAGCTACTTGGGAGGCTGAGGCAAAATATTGGCTTGAGCCCAGAAGTTTGAGGTTACAGTGAGCTATGACCATACCACTGCACTCCAGCCTGGGCAACAGAAAAAGCCCCTGTCTCTAAAACAAAGTTAAAGATGAATTGTTCTGTTTAAAATAAATGAAAGAAAAAAAATCCTACTTCAATCACAAGGTACAATTTTGATTAAAGTAAAGAATCTAAGCCTCTTGCATTGACGTAAAGATGAGTTATTCAGGAAAAGTCACCAGGCAGCATCACACACTTCCTAGTGGTCTCCAGGTGTTCCCGGCAGTGGCATAGAGGGCATGACATAAAGATGAAACCATCCTGGACAACATGGTGAAACCCCTTCTTTACCAAAAATGCAAAAAGTTAGCCGGGTGTGGTGGTGCATGCTTGTAGTCCCAGCTACGCCGGAGGCTGAGGTGGGAGGATCCCTTGAGCCCAGGGAGATGGGGGTTGCAGTGAGACAAGATTGTGCCACTGCACTCCAGCCTAGGTGACAGAGCGAGACCTCATCTCAGAGAAAAAAAAAAAAAAAGATGAAAACACTGTTCTCCGCTTCCACAATTCCAGTAAAATTTCAGGTATGGGGGGTATAGACCAAATGCCCCAGAAATGGCTCCCTCCTCGCTACCTTGAATTAAAGGCAACTAACTCATGAAGACAGTTGTTCCTAGTAAAATGTTGGTACTCAGCGTACTGTTCATTCAACAAATAGTTGTTGCATCATTATAATTCTGAAAACACAGAAACATTATCTTTGGGATTTATAGATATAGGTGCTGATCTAGATTTTAAGCAAACTTGATATAAAACCCATATTTGAAAAAAAAATTTTTGTAGAATTATGGAATGATTCACCTTAGAATAGTGTAAATAGCGAGTGCCCTGTGTATTTACAGTATGATTCCACCAAAAGGATGATTTTAAAATATGAAATCACAGGAATCAAGTACTCGCCCAGTGCCCGGAATTTATGGGGTATAGAAAAAGTTCGTTTATTTTCCCTGTGGCTCTTTCAGGTCATGATTACTCATCTAGCAGCCCAAGTTTCCTCTTCTTTTATTTCTTATCTGTGGTCAGTCGCATGGATTCGACCTTTGCAATGTCTCTCAACTTTAACTTTGTCCTCTCTTTCTCACCCCCATTCACACCACTCAATATTAATCCAATACATTCCATGTACCTGTTTTCCTGCCATAACCTAAATTCCAACAAATGTGTACCAAAAATACTACAGCATGATAGATAGCATGTATAATGCACATTTACTGTTAGACCCTGTGCTAAATACGACACAGGCATCATTTTTCTCCCATCTACTCTGTAAGACAGGCACTATGTTATGTCTGTTTTATGGATAAGGAAACGACAGCTTACAATGGTTTACATTTTAACTTTAAATTAGTTTAAACTTCAAATAAGTAGCCCAAGGTACCACCTGCTCTGTCTTGCTTTTTTGTTCATCCTGCTACTTGGAACACCTGCCCATCTATCTCACCTACTAAAATCTTATTCCTCCTTCAACTTTATCCTCATCCTCTATGAAACCTTTCCTGCTCTCACCATCTAGATGTAATCTTTCGTTCTTGTAAACCCTCTCCCACTTTTTACTTCTCCAAATCTCACATTATAACCATTTCTGTGCTTAATTTCCCCTTCTAATTTGTGTACTCCTTGAGGTTAGAAACATTATCCATCTTTAAATTTACTGTAGCATTTGACTTAGTCAATCATAAATATGTTGGATAATTGAAAATTGATAAGTGAAAATAAAAGAACTATATTAAATATTTTTTATGAAAAACCATTGCAGTCAGCCAGGCATGGTGGCTCATGCCTGTAATCCCAGCACTTTGGGAGCCAAGGCGGGCTGATCACCTGAGGTCAGGAGTTTGAGAGCAGCCTGGCCAACATGGCGAAACCCCGTCTCTACTAAAAATACAAAAATTAGCCAGTTATAGTAGGGCATGCCTGGAACCCCAGCTACTCAGGAGGTTGAGGCAGGAGAATCACTTGAATCTGGGAGGCGGAGGTTGCAGTGAGCCAAGATCGTGCCACTGCACTCCAGCCTCGGCAACAAACCAAGACTCCGTCTCAAAAAAAAAAAAAAAAAGAAAAAGAAAAGAAAACAGTTTACAGGTTCCTAATATGAAGGAGATCAAAAAATTAGCACAAGAGTTTATCAAGGAAAACTTCAAGAATCCCAAGTTGGCCAAAGAAAAGACTAATAAAAATCCAAATCAGTTATTTGTAAAAACAAAAACAAAAACAAAAACTTTAACAAACACTTTATACAACACTTTATGTTAGACACTGTTGAAAGTCATTTTCAAATATTTACTCATTTAAATTTCATAACAACCTTATGAGGTAGGTTTCAGTATTATTATCCCTCTTTTACAGGTAAGGAAATTTAGAAGTTAAAGTAACTTACTCATGATCACACAGCTAGTGACAGAGCAAGGAATCAAACCCAGGCATCCTTCTCTAGACTTCTCTCTAAACCACGGGCCCATACTGTTTCTATTTTTTTTTAATTACAGAATAACTCTCATGTACTGTATAGTTAAATATTTTTAAACAATTTTGAAACTTTAAAAATCTTCCATTCATTTCAAATGTGTTAATTTTGACAAAATTTCAGGCTTAAAAGTTGTAAGACTAGTACAAAGAATTCAACCAAATTCCCTAAACGCTGTCTTTACTCTTTTGTCTTTCTTTCTCAATATGTACGATCTTTTTTTTCTGATCTGTTCTGATCTTTTTAGTGAACTGTTGGATTTGGTTAGCTAATATTTTGTTGAGGATTTCTGCATCTATGTTCTTCAGGGAGATTGGCTTGTAGTTTCCTTTATTTGTGTCTGTCCTTTTCTGGTTTTGGTGTCAGGTAATGTTGTTCTCACAAAATAAGTTTGGGAGAATTCCAACCTCTTCAATTTTTGGAACAGTTTGAAAAGATTGGTATTAGTTTCTGTTTCTTTTCTTTTTTTTTTTTTTTTTTAGCAGGAGTTTCACTCTGTCTCCCAGGCAGGAGTGCAACGGCATGATCTCGATTCATTGCAACTTCCGCCTCCCGGGTTCAAACGATTCTCCTGCCTCAGTCTCTCGAGTAGCTGGGATTAAAGGCACCCATCACCATGCCCAGCTAAGTTTTTGTATTTTTAGTAGAGACACGGTTTCACCATGTTGGTCAGGCTGGTCTCGAACTCCTGATCTCAAGTGATCCGCTGGCCTCAGCCTCCCAAAGTTCTGGGATTACAGGCGTGAGCCACCATACCCGGCATGGTATTAGTTTCTTAAGTATTTGGTAGAATTCAGCAGTGAAGGCATCAGGTCCTGGGCTCTGAGGGAGACTTTTTGATAAGAGACTTTTTATTACTGATTCAATCTTGTTACTTGCTGGTCTAATAACGAGACCAACGTGCTATTGGATCTTCATGGTTCAATCTTGGTAGATTCAATGATTCAATCATTATTCTTCAAATGTATTCAGGAAGAAATAGAAATGTTTAGATCTATTGGTCCATTCAGATTTTCTGTTTCTTCATGATTCAATCTTGATAGGTTGTATGTGTCCAGGAATTTATCCATTTCTTTTAGATTTTCCCATTTTTGCTTTATAGTT